CACTGCCTATGAGGAGATCTTCTTCAGCTTAATTCATAGATCAACCATTGGCCACACCAGGCTCCAGGCTCAGAAGATGTAGGACAGGGACTGTGAGTTGGTAACACATCCCTATCAGACATTTCTCCTCAATATGAGCCTAGCAGCAAATCATGCAGCTATGAGAGCTCTCCTCTCAGGTGCATGAACAGCAGGTGCATATCAGCTGTGTGCTGGATCTACCCTGGCCTACAAGCCTTTTGCCCCAAGGGCACCAATATCTGTTGTAATAATTCCATACACCAGCTTTCAAGGTCATGGCCAAGATGAACAACTTACCAATATTAACTTTTCCAGTTCACCAGTTGGTACAGCTTGTTTAAAAATTTTTTAAATTTAAAAAATTTTAAAACAATTTTTTCTCTCAGTATTTTGTAGCAGTGTTCCAGAAATTATAGATCATAGATCATGGGTCAGATTTGGCCCCCAGCCTGTTTTTGTAATGCCAAGTAGCTTGGAATGATGTTAATATTTTAAAAATGTCATAAAATCAAAACAAAACCAGAACATGTGACAGAGACCATACATGCAAAGCCTACAACTATTTCCTGTCTGGTGCTTTATAGTGAAACTTTGCCAACCCCTGATGTGTACTTTTTTGGTGCATAGGTCTTATACAGTATCTGCTAATTTACTCCTCACTACTTTGTGAGATTTTAAAAATGCTATTGTAAGTGGTATCTTTTAAATTTTAGTTTTCAATCATTTACTGGTAGCATATAGAATATACAATTGGTTTTTATATATTGATCTTGTATGCTGGAAGTGTGCTAAATTTCCATGCTCCTGGTATTTCTTTGTAGATTTCTTATTTTTTAAACACATAGTTTCTGTAAATAGAGTTTTACATAATCCTTTTTAATCTGTATGCCTTTTACTCCTTTATACCTTTACGCTTGCTCTGACATCCTGTAAACTATTGAATACCAGTGAAGATAATAAACATGCATTCCAGGTTCCAGTTCTTAAAGAGAAAAGTGTTCAGTATGCTGTTAGCTGAAGGTTTTTTTGTATATGTGCTTCATCAAATCAAGGAAATCCCCTCCAATTTCTATTTTGCTGGAGATTACTTTGAAAGAAGTATTGAATTTTGTCACTTACTTCACATACAGATTTGAGATAATAATATGGCTTCTCTCCTTTATTCTGTAAATATGAATTACATTTTTTTTTTAAATGTTAAACCAATCCTGGTTCCTGGGACAAACCCCACCCAAGAGGTGGTCCTGCTAGATTATCCTCTTATATTTGGTGATTTCCTGAAATGGTCATTAAAGACTTTTATGTCTATGTTTCTGAGGGATATTAATCTTTAAATTTATGTGTTTGTACTAGAGTAATGCTGGCTTCTTTGCAGAATGAGTTAGGAAGTTTCCTTCTTTGTTTTCAGAGTTTGTGTAACCTTGGTAAAATATCTTCCTTATATATATAAAGATTTTATTTATTTGACAGAGAGAGACAGTGAGAGAGGGCACACAGCAGGGGGAGTGGGAGAGGGAGAAGCAGGCTTCCCACTGAGCAGGGAGCCTGACGCGGGGCTCGATCCCAGGACCCTGGGACCATGACCTGAGCCGAAGGCAGACGCCCAACAACTGAGCCACCCAGGCGCCCCTCTTCCTTATATTTTTGATACAATTTACAGGAAAACCACTTGGGATGTGCAATTTTCTTCATAGAATGGTGTTTAAAGTCACTTGTTATCCCTTTAATATCTACCAAATCTGCAGTGATGCCCCACCTTCATTCCTGATATTGGAAATTTCATTTTTCTTTTTTTATTTCCTGGTCAGTTTTTCTAGGGATTTGTCAATTTCATTAACCTTTTAAAAATCCATTTTTAGTGTGTTAATTTTTCTGTATATTTTCTATTTCTGCTATTAGCTTTATCACTTATTTCTACTTATTTTGGATTTAATTTCTTTTTTTTTTAAAGATTGACTTATTTGAGAGAGAGACAGAGAGAGTGCAGGGGGTGGGGAGAGGGAGAGAATCTTAAGCAGACCCCAATGAGCATGGAGCCCAACACAGGACTCAATCCCATGACCCTGAGATCATGACCTGAGCCAAAATCAAGAGTCGAGCGCTTAACCAACTGTGCCACCCAGGCATCCAGTGCTGTCCAGTGTTTGGAAGCACAAGAAGGCTGTGATGGACCTTAAAGAATATACATGTGTTAGATGGGCTACCTTCGGTCAGGAGTTGTACTGCTGTTGACTCGGAGTTCGATGTGAATGAATCAATATGGCACATGCTCAAGTAGAAGATATTCACTGATCTGTACATGAAGCCACTCCAGAAAGTGTTAAAAGTATCTTTTAGAGTGTGTGGCAAAGCTATGAAAAAGATGGAAAAGCAGCTCAAGTGGATTCGTGAGATGAAGATCAATAAAAAAGTTTAGGAAGGCATTGTTCTGAGGCTGAAGGCCAAAATTTAAGAGTCCTGTTACCCAGATAGGGAAAATGTTAAACCCTGATCAGCTAGTTAGCTGGCCTGCACATTTCAAGAGACAATACAGTATTAGCAGTGTGCAGATAAGGCCGTTCCTGCAGATCAGGAGGCTATGGAATAATTTTTAAAATACCTGCTAAATATTAATACAGGGAAAGCGTTATGTGGAAGAGCAGGTTTCAGTGCCAATGAGACTGGCTTGTTTTCCTAGGCTATTGACAAAAGAACCCATATAATGCAAATGGCCTCCAAATCCCATCTTCAAATTATTCAAATATCATGCAATCTTGCTACTGTGTGTCAATACTAACAGCAAACCCCTAAAGATGTACGGAACCCCAAATCCACAAGAACTTAAAAGGAAACTCCAGTTCAGGAGTTTGACATCTGACATATGAGATGTCAGAAACATTCTGGGATTAAGCTTCCACCACTGCTCATCCAAGAAGTTGACAGCTATCTCCAGGCCAAAAACCTTGCCTCCAAGGTTGTATTGATTTTGAGTATTGCCCCAGTCCATTGCCATGAAGAACTTGCAAATGCCCACCCCAACCTACGTGTTCTTTTCATGCCCCTAAACGCTAGGTCTGTCACCTAACCTCGCCATCAGGATATAATAAAGCTTTCATGGTGAACACCCCGAGGGAACTTTATAGTAAAGCAATACAACACCAACAAGGAAACCGGCACCACGGACTACTGGCAGTCCGTCACAACAGCCAAGGTCAGGGACTGTGGTACACAGCCTGGGGTGGTATCAAGCAGACTACTATCAGTAATATCTGGAAAAATGGCCAGACCACCTGAAAAATTTCAAAGGCTTTGAAGGTGTCACAGAAAATATAAAGGCCAATGGCAAACACATAATGCATATCACACGGCAAATAAGTGAAAAAAGCCTCAGTGACATGAGGGAAGATGTGGAAGAAATTTGGGCAGAAAAGGTAGTAGAGTCCACAAAGACCCAGAAGACAGAGCAAAACAAGGCACTGAAGTCAGTGGTGATGAGGATGGTGATGAAAATCCAGCTACCACTGAAATGTCCCTCTCACAGCAGCCATAATATCAGAATGAAATTCTGCCTTGGAAGAATTTGCAATGACATGAAAGAATGTGACCCTATTGTTGAATGCAGCCTCCTGCTATTTTTCAAGCGGCTTGAATTAAGTACCATCAACTACTTTGGTTTTCTTGGGGTAAGCCAAGGTCAAGAGATTTATCCGGAGTGCACTGCCCCACCACACATCCCTTAGCTCTCTCAAAACTAGCTGTACTTAATGTTAATCTTTGATTAATTTTAACTTCTTCTGCACTTTCTTTGCATGATTGTACAATATAGCACAGTGTAGGTGTTCACATTACTGTAGTTTACTGTGTTTATGCAATGTGCGAGTACTAAAATGTGTGTATTGTTTGTATGACTGACAAAGTAGTAGAGTAACAACAAATACACTATACAAAATGATGTAATAGAAATAGTTTTATTATGATACTGCATATAATTTATTTCTAAGAAACATATATTAAATTCAGATGCCTTTAAACAGAACAAAAATCCATAATAGGTCATGCATTGATTGGCTGATGAAAATGTGAACAGAGGCTCAGACAAACATAAGTTTTCATTTCCCTTAGAAGCAATGGTTCAGTAGTCATTAATTCAGTGTTTGTGATGGATTTACAGAATACAACTACAATGAATAACAATTGACTAAATATATGAGTGTGTGTGTGTATGTGTGTTAAGTATTTTATGACTCGGGCCTCTAAATCTCTCACAAACATTTATGCTCCCCAAGGGTAAAAATGACAATGTTTTAGAATAAGGAGTATTTTCAAAAAATGTTGGCAGCAGGGCTGCCTTCAATGGTCCAACTCTCCTGACAACAGATATATAAAAGACACATGGGGCGCCTGGGTGGCTCAGCCAGTTAAGTGTCTGACTTCGGCGCAGGTCATGATCCCAGGGTCCTAGGGTTCAGCCACACATCGGGTTGCCTGCTAAGCGGGGAGCCTGCTTCTCCCTCTCCCCGACTCGTGTTCCCTCTCGCTCTCAAATAAATCTTAAAAAAAAAACAAAAACACATAAAGGGAATGAGGTCTTTTTATCTCTCACACCCCCACCATCCCCTGTCCCAACCCCAATGACAAGTTCTCACAAGGTTGGCAGGGAAATTGGAAAGAAGCCATACACTCATTTCTTTTCCCTTTCTCTTCTGCATCTCCTCCACCTCTCACTGTACTTCTAAAATACTCTTGAGATGGTTTTATAGTATAAATATAAGAAGAATTCTTGCTGACATATTTCCTAAATGCATAACCACTGGGTCTCACTTGTGGATGATTCCCGGGGGGGTAGTATAAGGGTCTAGGCTGGGTCAATTTCTAATATGACCCTTGAGATGACCTGCCACAAAAAGCTTTCACACAGATGGCAATTATGTTTCTCTTCAGTATGAATTATCAGATAATGAGCAAGGTGTTTCTCCAATTCAGGCCAAAAGGTTTTCCTGAAAAGTTATATTCAAAAGAAAAGGTATTTCACCAGTATGAGTTCACTAAAATTGACCAATATAAACAACCTGCAGAGGCCTTTAAACTCTGGTATGAATTTTTCGATGGTGAGTGAAGGATGAACTGTGGCTGAAGGTTTTTCCACATTCACCACATTCAAAGGGTTTCTCTCCAGTGTGAGTTCTCATGTGTTGAGTTAAGGCAAAGTTGTCACAGAAAGCCTTCTTACAGTCTTTGCATTCATACGGTTTTTCTCCAGTGTGGATCCTATTATGACGGACAAAGTTCGCAGGTTGGGTAAAGGCCTTCCCACATTCTCTGCATACATAGGGCTTCTCGCCAGTGTGAATCCTCATGTGTCGAGTAAAGGAAGAGCTGTAGTAAAAAGCTTTCGCACATTCTTTACACTCCAAGGGTTTTTCTCCACTGTGGGTCCTATTATGTCGGATAAAAACAGAGTGGTGTGTAAAGGCTTTTCCACAGTCACTGCACTTATAGGGCCTCTCGCCAGTGTGAATCCTCATGTGTTGAATTAAGGAAGAGCTATCACAAAAGGCTTTCCCACATTCCTTGCATTCAAAGGGCTTCTCCCCAGTATGAGTCCTCTTGTGCCGGATAAAAGTGGAGCGGTGAGTGAAGGCCTTTCCACATTCGTTGCACTCAAAGGGTTTCTCTCCAGTGTGAATCCTCATGTGTTGAGTGAAGGATGAGCTGAGGCAAAAAGCTTTTCCACATTCTTTGCACAAAAAGGGTTTTTCTCCTGTGTGGGTCATATTATGCTGGATAAAAGTGGAACGGTGAGTGAAGGCCTTTCCACATTCACTGCACTTGTAGAGTTTCTTTCCAGTGTGAATCCTCATGTGTTGAGCAAAGGAAGAGCTGTAGTAAAAAGCTTTCCCACATTCCTTGCACAAAAAGGGCTTTTCCCTAGCGTGGGTCATATTATGTTGGTTAAAAGAAGAGCGGTGGGTGAAAGTTTTACCACATTCTTTGCACTCATAGGGCTTATCTCCAGTGTGAATGCGCTGGTGCTCTGTGAGGTGAGACCTGCGTTTGAAGGCCTTCCCACACTCAATGCACTTGTACGGTTTTTCCCCAGTATGCAACCTCGTATGTCGAATGAAGTCTGCCATATAACGACAGGCTTTCCCACATTCACTGCATTTATAGGGCTTCACTCCAGCATGAATCTGCTGATGCCGACCAAGGGCCCAATTCTTGCTAAACCTTTTCCCACAGTCTTTGCATTTATATAGGTTATTCCTTGCATCTATCACAGGGTCTTTTCCTGGTCCTTGTTCATGTTCACGTGGATCACCTTGGGTAGTGACTCGCTCCTGCAAAACCGTTAAACACAAACGATCATCTGTCTCCAAATCATCATGTTTATGGGTCAACTTCCTAGGGCATGTCTCCTTGTGGGGGTCTGCTCCTGGCCTCAAGTTCCCTTCCTGCATTTCTGATAGCTTTTCCTGATCCCTTGCTTGCCCCAACCTGGAATCCCTTGGGACTCCCTGGGTCACTTGTTCCTCAAAAGGGGCTTCCTCAGTGAAGGCCAGCTGAGAAGCAGTAAGTTCTGTGGTCTCAGGTTTTGCTTTTTCACCTGAAGGGAATCCAATACAGAAAGGTGTCTATTAGTCATGTCAACACAGAACAAACAAAATTACCATTTGAGTGGCAGAATGAAGATGAAAATAATCCCTCTAATGCCTGTGGCATTTATATATCTATTAAGCCCAGGTTTACAATTTCTTTCTTCACTAATCCTTGGACTCTTGACATCTTTAAAAGGCAACCCAGGAAGAAAAGCTGGGGCAGGCGTAGAGAATCTGGAGTGGAGAAGACTCCTCACCCTCCAGAATGGGGGAGGGTGGGCAGAGTAAAGACTACACCGTATGTAATGACTGTGCCCCAACACGGTATGGCAGCACAGGGAAGGGGCACCTAGTCTGACCCACATGGGAGACAGAGGTCAGTGGAGGCTACCTGGAAAAGGTGCTGTGGGAGCTTATTTCTAAAGGAGAGTAGGGATTCTCTGATGGAGGAATGAGGAGAGAAAGTACAACATGCAGTGTCTTCAGAGAATTCTGAATGCCAGGCAAAGTGAAGTGGACGAGAGGATGGTGGAGGTGAGGATGGAGAGGCAGACAGGGACAGAGGAAAGAAAAAAATCTCAGGATTCTGGGCTGTGGGATAGTGGGGGACGGTGAGAAACTACTGGGTGGGCGTACCGAGTCTACTTCGTCTGAGTAAAGACTAGGTGAACAGACACCAAACAAATACCATCGAGATGAAGAGAATTATAAATTTACCACATTAATGAAGATCTCTATGAAAAGGGAGATTAGTAATATAAAGTTGTCCTTAAATTCATCTATAAATTCAATACAGCCTCAAATAAAAATCCCAATAGAGTTTTTCAGGGATATTGACAAAGTGATTGTAGAATTTACATAAAAGAACAAACAGACCAGGCTATCTCCACAGAAGAAAAAAGAAGGGAGTCTTGCCCTTTGAGGAATTAGAATTATGATGATTATATACAAGAAGGCAGTACGATGTAGGCATAGATTTAAGATAAACTGTCAAACTGTCAAAGGAAAAAAACAGAATTAAGAGCTCAGAAATATATGTATGAACTTTGAAATACGACAGAAGCAGCAGAGAGGCCCAGTGGGAAAAGCAGGGATTATTCAATAAATGGATCTACAGAAATCATTTCCCATATGGGGGAAAATGAAATTGCATTCCTAACCTCAAGCCATACAAAAATTAACTCTAGACTGAGTAAGACCTGTCAGAGGCTCACCATTAACAACATTTAGTAAATAGTAAAAATGATTATCTTTTAGATCTTGGGAAAGTGAAAGATTTCATAAACAAGATAAAAAAGCATTAACTGTAAATGAAAAGACTAGTCAATCTGACTAAACTAAATATAATTTTTTAAAAGGCAAACGGGGGGCACCTGGGTGGCTCAGTCGGTTAAGCGTCTGCCTTCAGCTCAGGTCATGATCCCAGGGTCCTGGGATCAAGCCCCACATCAGGTTCCCTGCTCGGCGGGAGGCCTGCTTCTCCCTCTGCCTGAGGCTTCCCCTGCTTGTGCTCTCTCTGTGTGTCAAATAAATAAAATCTTAAAAAAAAAAAAAGGCAAACAAGGGTATCTAAATTACTATCAGATACCAGACTACAGAGCAAAGGAAATGAGAAAAAGAGGGACACTATACAATGCTAAAAAGACCAACCCACCAGGAAGACAGAACAACCCTAAATCTGTACGCAACAAATATCAGAGCCCCAAAAGAAACCAAAAACTGAGTTCAAAGGAGAAACAGAAAAACCACAATTACAGTCGGTAACTTCAACACTCCACATCCAAAATGAAAACTAAGCATATTTGTATGAGCTGACATTTCACAGATGATCTACATCAGCCAATCAACCTATGAAGAGGGGCTCAACTTTCCTGGATATGAGGGAAGGGCAAAAGACCACAATGTGATACCGTATTATATTCACCTGATTGAAAAAAGTAAAGAACTTGACAGTATGGGGTGTTGGAAAGGCCACAGATCCATAGACTTGTTAGTATAACGCCAGTGAAGTGTGAACAGGTAAGATCCCATGTGAGAAAACAGCAGGGCAGCATCTAGTAAAGTTCTCCTTCTGCTCACTTGTAATAATCGAAAAATTCTAGCCCTAGGAACACCACTAAGAGAAATTCCTACACATATGCATGAGGACATATGTATGTGAATTTTCACAATAGCACTCTTTGTGGGTATAAAAAACTGGAAACATGAAAGTCCTCATGAAAATAAATGAATACACGGTGTTATATTCATGCAAATGACTACAGAAGAAAAAAAATGAGTGAACTATACTACATGCATGGTGAGTCTTAACAATATACTGTTGAGTAAAAAGTACAAATCATGTAAGACAATATAACCTATGATATACTTTTTATAAAGTTCAGATAAAAAAGCACGTATATACATGAGTATGATGAAGTCATTTTTAAGTCTGTTTTGAGAATGTCAGTTAATAACGGCATTATAAAAACACGTACATAGGATACATGCATCCCTGTGTTTACTGCAGCATTATTTACAATGACCAAAATATGCCCCAAGCGTCCACTGACGGATGCATGGATAAAGAAGATGAGTTATATATATGCAATGGAATATTATTCAGCCATAAAAAAACAATGAAATCTTGTCATTTGAACAACATGGATGGAGCTAGAGAGTGTAATGCTAAGTGATCAGTCAGAGAAAGACAAATACCATATGGCTTCACGTATATGTGGACTTTAAGAAACAAAACAAATGAACAAAGGGAAAAAAGAGACAGAGACAAACCAAGAAACAGATTCTTAACTATAGAGAGCAAACTAACTGATGGTTACTAGAGGGGAGGTGAGTGGGGGGATGGGTTAAATAGGTGATGGGGATTAAGGAGTACACTTGTCATGATGAGCACCAGGTGATTAAGATAAAAACGTAAAAAAATATATAAGTATCTTCATTTATTTTTTTAGTTTCATTTACTGTGGTAAATATATATATATATAACATAAAATTTAACATTTTAAGATAAAACAATCTTCAAATGTAATGGATAGAATAATTAGACGAAGTGGGAAAACTCCTTGAAAGATTCAAATTACCAAAACTGACAGAAGATAAACAATATATGAATAGCCCTATACTGACCCCAAAAACAAATTGTTATGGACTGCATGTTTGTGTTCCCCCAAAATTCATGTGTTGAAGCCCTAACCTCCAATGTGAATTTGGAGATAGGGCCTTTATGGAAGCAACAAGAGACACCAAAGTGTTCTCCCTCTTCCCCCAACCACCCCCAGCACATACACAACACCTAGGAAAGACTATGGTCTCCCTTTGTCTTCTTATAAGGACACCAATCCCATCATGGGGGGGCTCCACCCCCATGACCTCCTCTAAACCCAATCATCTCCCCAAATCCCGACCTCTTAATAGCATCACACTGGGGGTTCTAACCCCCCAGCTCCAAGTATGAATTTGGGAAGGACATAACAATGTTCACAATAATGTTACATAAGAAAAATTATGTAAATCAACCAGTCCAGTACATGGCAAATGTTCAGTAACCTGTACACCCCTCTTATCATTATTATAGGTGTTGCACTTGCCAATCAGAACGTCAACAGTAACCTGAGTAAGAACATTTTCAGTAGGGTGGTGCTGAGAAACAACACTACTGGCTCTCAAAGAATAAAGGGGAAGATACCACCTGCTCCCCAGTAGGCGTTAACAGTTGACGACTCTTACGCATGACTGCTGGGAATGTGAAACAGTGTGGTCCCTTTGAAACTGTTTGGTGGTTTCTACTGAAGCTAATCATGTATCTACACCATGATCCAGCCAGGCCACTCATTTACATATTCCCAAAAGAAATGTGTGCTTATATCCAACAAAAAATATGATCAAGAATATTCATAGCTGCATTCTTCACAATATTCTGAAAATGGAGAACAAGCCAAATAACAGGAAAATGGATATATGTAATCTATTCATTCACTGAGACACTGCACAGTTAAGAAATAACTCTAAATTTTGCAACCACATGAGGGAACCTCAGAGCCATGATGATTATCAACACGGACATAACAGTATTATGTACTGTGGGGGTCCAGTTATAAGTCTTTAATCTATAGTGATTGAGTTGAACACCTGCTACTTTTGTAAAAGGGGTATTAACAAGGAGGGAGCAGAAGAAACCTGGGAGGTGCTGGAAGTATTTCTTGACCGGTGTGGTCGATACTTGGGTTTATGTATGTAATATTTCATAAAGATGAACCTTTAAGATTTGTATATTCACTATGTGTAAGTTATACCTTCGTACAGTGATTAAAGAAAATAGTAAAAGAGTAACAAGGAAGCCTAAAAGTCCTGTGTAGCTGTCTCTTCAGAGAATGAGAAAACTCCTCCCAGAGGGCTTGGTTGTTCAGGTGAAATAGAGTCGTCAACAATTACATGTGTTGGGAGAGCCAAGAGCATGTTTTGTTTCAAGTTTCCCCCAAGTGTCCGAAACTTCACTGTGTTTCCTATGTTGAGTTGAGAGAAGGCGAAGATATAGAACAGGCAGGAATTATTTCCTTCGCTTCCTTCACTTATGTGAAGACCCAAGGTCCCGGATGCAGCTGACTCACGTATGGCTTCTTGTAATTCCTACCTCGTGGTGCTTACACCCTGTTATGATGCCCGCTGGCAGAATGGCGCAGGCCCTTGATTTGCTTCTAAAGAACAGAATATGGCCAAGTGGTGGAAATGTAAAAGATGAGGCTGTGTGTTGCATCCCTCTTGCCGGAGTCTCTCCCACCATCGCTTGATCTGAAGGAACCTGACATGTTGTGAGGTGTCTCTGACTGTGGTCTTCCCATTCTGTAAGTCAAGAAAGCCAGGAACCGAAGGGACGACCCCACACCACCTCCGCCTTCTTCACACCCTCTATCCAGCCGTTCCTGAATCCTGATCGTGTTCCATCTTTGTATGGACGAGTATGGCTTGGCCGAGGAGGCTCATGCGGAACCGACGGAGTTGGAGAAGGTGACGGATTCTGGAGATACGGAAGATGGAACACGATCAGGATTCAGGAACGGCCGGATAGAGGGTGTGAAGAAGGCGGAGGTGGTGTGGGGTCGTCCTTCAGTTCCTGGCTTTCTTGACTTACAGAATGGGAAGACCAGTAGTTGAAAATGGCGAGGTGGGAGGAGTGGGCCAGATCATGAGGTCCTTTTTAAGATATCAGTGGAACACTGGAACATTGGGATATTCCAGTGAAGATGCGCAACTGCAGAGCGGGGTGAAGGTGTGAGACAGACTCGAAGGGGTGAGGAGGGGAGGGCCGGACACTTGCTGGCTGAGCAGCCAGAAGGAACACGAGAGGGGAGAGATCACTAATCTGCATTGAAGCCTCTCCATCCACTCGATGGCTTCAGCGGCTCTGAGCAGCCCAGATGTGAGGCTGACAAAGGCAAATGTCTCCTTGAGGTTTTATAAGACGGGAGGGCAAGAAGACAACAAGGCTAGGGACTGCTTCCAAATACCTGCTTCACAAATGGAAGGATGGTTACATGCAGGGATGTATAGGTGAATGAATGATTGGATGAAGGTGGAAAAGTGTGGGCTGCAAAGTATAGTTAGAGGTAGTAATCTGCAGAAAAAGAAAGGACTGTCTTTCCTGAATTTGGAAGGAAGTTTGAGATATCATTATTCATTATGACTAATAATGCCTGAATATTACAAACACACAACTTTTGTTACTTCGTCACTCACTCTGAGTCAGGCAGTGTGCAATAAGCAGTTTCTTGTTATCTAATTACATTCCCAAATAATCCAATGATGCAGAAACCATCATTAGTATCTTTTTCTAATGTAGGCTAGTTTAGCAGACTGAGAATATGTTCATCATATCCCTGGCCTCTTCTCCTTGGGCACAAAGCTAAACCACATTTCCCAGTTTGATGCAACATGTAGCCTAATGACCAGTTCTTGTCAATGAAATCTGAATGAAGTGATGTATGTGTGCAAGTGGAGAGGGCTACGGATCTTCCACAACTTATGATGGGGTTACATCTCAATGAACCCATCAAAATGCTTTTTTTAAAATAAAGATTTTATTATTTATTTGAGTGAGAAAGAAAAAGAGAGATCACAGAGACAGAGGGAGAAGCAGGCTCCCTGCTGTGCAGGGAGCCCAACGCAGGGCTCGATCCCAGGATCCTGGAATCATGACCTGAGCCGAAGGCAGACGCTTAACCAACTGAGCCACCCAGGTGCCCCCAAAATGCGTTTAATACACCTAACCCACCCCACATCATAGCTTAGCCTGGACTACCTTAAACGTGCTCAGTACACTTACATTAGCATACAGTTGGGCAAAATCATCAAAGACTATTTCATAATAAAGTGTTGAATATCTCATGCATTTACTGAATATTGTACTGAAAGTAAAAACAGAATGGTTGTGGTAAGTGTACTGGTTGTTTACCCGCGCGACTGCATGGCTGACTGGGAGCTGTGACTCGCTGCTGCTGCCCAGCATCAGGAGAGAGCATCATACTGCAATATCACTAGCCCAGGAAAAGATCCAAACTCAAAATTCAAAGGCCACCTTCTACTGAATGCATACTGCTTTCACTCCATTATAAAGTGGAAGAATCCAAAGTTGAACCACTGTAAGCTGGGGGCCATCTGTACTCCCCTTCTCTCCTATTCCTCTTGGCCACTTGGATGATGCCAGGGCAAACTTAAAGCAACATACTGACAACAGAATGCACCTGGATCCCTGAATAAATAGGTGGTACAGAGCACCCCTGCTGACCCACATTAACCATGTCATAAATGAGAAAAAAAACTCTTATTAATTTGTTAACTGACCTAGAATTTGGAGTTTATCTTTTACAGCAAGATAGCATTAACTTAGCCTAACTTGTATCAAAGGAATAGCAGGATCATGCAACTTCCTCAGTCATGAGGCTAGTGAGTGGCCAAGCATTTAGAGCTTGTCTCTTACTCAGTATACCACCTCCCAACCCTAATAAAGACAAAGAGTGTGATGGGGTGGAAGGACAGGGCCAACAAAGCTGGAGTACTACCTCACCAACCAAGACTCCAGGAAGGCCACAAAAGAAGCTGCCCATAGAATTTTAGACAGGTGATCCCCTGGTAGTCTGTGAGTTGCCATGAAACCCATTGTCAGGACATGCACCTGCCAGACTCTCAGCCACCTACCTGTATAGGTGCTTTTGGAGAGGTCTCTCCTCACTGTCCACAGTTCCTGCCCATCCTCCACTAGGTAGGTCAGCTCTGGTTTGGGAACAGGATGCCCTGTGCATGGAGAAAGAAATGGGACATGGGTATATAGGTAAGGACAAAAGGAAAAGTCTCAAGTATACAGGAGTATACACCTTTCACATGCCACCATGAAACTCCAGAAAGGAAACGACTCCTTCCAGAAGGTGTTCCCTAATGAAGCCAGTAGGATTCTACCTTCCCGTGGATCAGAACTACCCGGAGATGTCTGTTCTGAGCACAGAACGAGTTAAACCAAATCTCTGGGCATAAGGACAGAACACAGGGAGTCTGTAAAGCTCCCCAGGTGATTCTGGTGCCCAAGGATGGCTAAAAAACACTGGACTGAATCAACTGTTGAATGGCATCTACTGATAGTCAGTTGTCTGAAGTTGGCCATGACCTAAAACCACTACCATTCTGAAGAAAAAGCCTTTAATCCAAGTTGGAAAGACAGAGCTGAAGGTGAGGACCTGCTGCCCTACTTGCTGCTGTAGCATCCCATGGCTACTTTGAGGATACTGGCCTGACGGCCTGGACCAAGGAGAGAAAGTGAACAGACACGCCTGGGTTGGCACCTACCAGGCCAGGAGCCAGCATCACCTCAGGACTTCTCATCGGGTGAAGTCATTACATTTTTCAGGGGTGAAATCAGTATGAGGAGGTTTTCTGGTACATGCACCCAAGCATGTTTTGCCAAACGTGAAGACTTAAAGACAGGAGGACTCTGGAGAGAATCCAGTGACTAAGGCACCATGACCCACAGAAACGCCAACTAGAAAATCCTATACAGCAGGTCAGAATGTATCCAGTTGTCCTGCAGCAAATGTTCACGGATGTTTGCTAGATGCCTGGAACTGAGCCCCATGATGGGGCAGTGTCAAAGTTAAATCACACCTTCCTTCATCTGTCATGGAACTGAGCTCCCCGTCCCCACAGGGACTTGGCTCCTGTTGGTCCCTCCACCTGGAATACTATTCCCCACGCATCTCCTTTCAACAACTAATCACAATGGTCACGAGCTAACACCATTTACTGCATTGATGAGTGACCTCCCGGGAGAGACAATGTGGACACAAGGCTGGAAGAGCCCTGTCATGGTGACCATTTGGACATCTGGGAAAAGGCAGACCTCAGGCCTCCATTCAGTTCATATTCAGACCAATTTCTGGGTAAATTGGCCATTTAAAGTTTCGGTGGGAGAATATTTGGGACTTACTGATCTAGTACATATAATAAGTACATGCGTTACACTCGCTATGTTCCTAGTTCTATTCTAAGCACTTCCCCACTATTAGGTCACTTGGGCTAAGTGAAAGGTTACCATAAAAATACAATAAAATCAAAATAACTGTATTAAGTCCCAGGAAGCTCACGCTGCATCCTCAAGGCTATGTGTCCTACAGCTCTTCTTTCTGAAGGGGAAATTAGCTAAGAGACACAGGAGAGCTAAAGATGCAGCACCAAGCCCAGACTCTTCCAACAACAATCAGAAGGCAGGAAAGAGGAAGGAAAAAGGAAGAGCTTTCTTAGCTCCCCATCGACGCCATTGATGATGTGTCTGTGCACCCTCTAAAATGACCTCCCTTAGCAGCAGAGAAGCAAGGCATAGGCCTTAGGAAATAAGGGAAAACTGCACACACCAGGAGCCAAAGAAGTCATTTAGCCGAGATCGTGCTGTTTAGAAAAATACCAGTAGCAGTGATGTCAAATACCTTCCTGTCTGTCTGATTCACCCACTTCTTGGAGAACTCACAGTTCCTGCTTACTGGGCTATGAGGACATTTGATCCAACCAAACTGAACCAATCACCTTACCTATCACGGAGATCTGGAATAAGGACTTCAGACTGAGGACAGCTTTTGCTGGACACTTGGGTAAGAATGTTGAGAACTATGTTTCTTATACAGCAATCCCTACTGCACACATAGGGACGCCAATAAGAGGTTAGAACAGAATATGTTGAGGTTGTGGAGAGACAGGAAGGTGGGTCCCAGAGGCCTTCTCAATCAGCCATGCTTAGAGAGAAAGGATGGAATGAAAGCCTGTGGGTACCACTCTGGAGAGCATTGGATCCTTACCCAGTGAGACCAGGAGCCCACAAGTCTCCAGCATCACCTCCCGGTATAAGGTCCTCTGGGCCAGGTCCAGATGTCTCCATTCCTCCCCAGTGAAGGTCACGGCCACATCTTTGAATGTTATCAATGCCTGGAATATCAAACAGAAGTGATGGGTGGCTGCATATCTATTACATGAGATGAGAGCCTATTGCTTGGTCACAAGCAGAAGTCCAGAAAGACCTAAACCCCTGAGTATCTCCTGAGAACCTAGCTCTGTGCTGGGCTCAGGAGGGAGGCAGATGGTGCCTCTGATAGAGTAAAAGAACATGGGAAAGAAAAGCCTCCTGTGTAGGAAGTCATTGGAGAAAAACACAAAACAATGATAATCTCATGTAGGCAGTGAGGAGCAGATATTAAGCCCATGAGGTAAGTGCCATCACCTCCATTTCCAAGCAGCAAACAGAGGCTCAAAGCCAAGTGGAACAGAGTTGTATGTCTAAAGAGAAGGGGCAAGATTTGAAGTGAGGTCCCTCAGGTCCAGCCATGGTCAGGGGTTTAGATTTAATCTAAGTATGACATAGTTCCAGAGGGAAAAATCTTTCATTCATCAATCCTTTATTTGGCACTGGTGCAGGCCCAGCACTGTTCTAGGCTTGGAGACAGAGAACAGGAGCTCACACTCCGGAGCTGGGGAAAGGTCTGGACAAGAAATTAAAGAAATGAGCAAGATCAAGTCATATGGCCCTAAGGGCTCCGAAAACAACAAAAGAGAAATGAACTGATTGCAAACATTAGGGGACTTTAGCTGGGGCAACCAGGGAAGGCCTCTCTCAGGGGGCACTGGAATGGGGCTGGCATGAAGTTAAGGAGCAGGCCACGTGAGGAAAAATTAATAACTAACGTTAAGTCCTGAAGGTAGTCAGAGCTAGGATGAGAGTAAACAGGGTGACATGCTAGAGAATAACTTAAGGCCTGTTGTGTGTTTACAACCCAGGAGACACAGCATTCCTGTACACCATCATTAATGAATATTGTAATGGAGTCACTCTTCAAGCACAGGTCTCCCCCCCCCATCTGAAACCACAGTGTTCTATGAAAACTTTCCTAAGCCAAAATGCGGTAAAATGAAAAGTATCCCCCAACTTCCTGAAAGTTCCCCTTACTGCCAACTTTGCTTTTAGGAAAAACTTACATTAGCACCTGTTTTCACCAACCGAAAGAAATCCCAAAAGGATTTTTGTTTTTAACTTACTAATGTAGTCTCTCCTAAAAGCCAGTGGCAAAATCCAAACCTTTGGAAAGCGGGAGAACCTGAATAAGAAAATGTGTTAGAGAGGAAAATGGATTCACTGTTGCAAGTTGCAAACCAACTTCACTTATAATACACACATGGCATCTGCAAAGTTCAATGCAGTGACTGTCTTGTCTTCCCCGCCTGTACAGGGGCTTTCTACACCTAGCAGAAAAGCAGCAATTCACAAAACGCAGCTCCCATCCCCTCTCCCAGCTTCCAGCCTGGGTAGAGGCCTAAGGCAGGGAGGCCCGAAGGCCAGACTCTCCCTGGTGTGAGCCTAAGAGCAGGGCAGGACCAGGTTAGTCCCTCTCAGAATCACATCCAGACTGATGCTCTCTGGGTCGTGCTGAGCAATGAAGGACACGTCACACGCATACCCTCTCTGGTTCCCTCAACTGAGAGAGAATAATCGTTAATACACACGGTATTCCAATTTTAGATCCGAGGGAATGGAGGCCAAGGGCAGTGAAAAGGCAAGCTGAGGTCAGGGGCAGAAATGGGGGCCTCCCCTTATAACCCCTGGCCCGGATTCAGAACCTGAGTTAGAAATGATTAGATCTACCCTCCCACCCCCCCGCCGCATTCCTCCAGGAACTCCAGATCCAAGAGCATTAAGAAGGAATGGCGAAGAGTCCCAGGATCTATATCACTGCGGGCGGAACCGTGAGGACCGCGACCCCAGCGCGCGCGAGCCTGCGCGACCCTCCACTCACCAGCGCCGGCGCCGCCATGAGGCCCACCGGCCGAGCGAGACCGCGAGAAGCGGCGACTAAAGCCCGTCCAGCGAGCTCAGCCGACCCCTCACCCCAGACCAGGGCCGGGTGACCAGGGACCTCGGTCTCCGCTGTGTAAACGAGCAACAAGGTCCAGGGGGCCCCGTGCGGGTGCCTCGGGAACGAAGGGCTAGTGCCGCGGCGCCGGAGAGGGTAGGGGGACAACCCCGATACAGGTGGTTTCGGGCTCATGCAAAACCGTGGAGGTAGGTCCTATCCTCCTCACCGTCCTTTGCTCAGTCTGGAAGACGCTTCTGGGAAGCGGCCTCCTCCCACCGCTCCAACCAGAAGCGCAGCTCAACACAGACACGCTACAACCAAGTGACGTCCTAAGCGGAGACGCCAGAAGTCCCGCCCACGGTGCGGCAGAAACGCCCCTCTCCGCTCTCTGTCATTGGCTGGGCGTCCGCCTTCGCCATCAGGGGCACTGCCTTCTGGGTAATGTAGTTTCTGACTGTATCTAGGCTGCGCGAGTTCTGTTCTCTGAGAAACCCGGGGTTAAAGTTCCAAAGACAGGGGTGTGGCTTTTAAGAGGTTGAAGGAGAAGCACACAGATTTCAGTGGCCCTTCAGGCAAGATCTCACCTCAAATAGGTGACGCCTACCGTGACCTTCCTCCCTGTGTACCGCAGCGGGATCACTCACTTCTTTCTGAGCCAGTATTTACAACGAAATATGAAGATAATTCTTGAATGTAGTGATTTTTAAAGTTCCTCTAATCGGCAGTTTCCAACCTGCAGACCACTACAGCATTCCCTTGGGAATTTGTTACAAATACAGGCCCCACTTCACTCCTACTGAATCAGGAACTCTGGGCTAGGGCACCACATCTATGCTTTAAGAAGCCCTCCAGAGGAATTTAATGCTCCAAACAGCTGAGAACCAGCCTCTTTAAATTCCAGTGAATAGATGAGCTAAAACTACCTCTTTTGTGGGAGATAACTAAAAAGAGCTCAGTAGCAGATCTGGCACATAATGGTAAGTACATAAGAGCTAGTGCTGTCATTATTATTATTTTATATTAGTATCATTGGCAATGTCATCACAAGGATCTGGCATACACTCTGGTGAGACAGGAAGTCTGATACTTCTTGACAGAGGCACTGGCGACATTTGTCAAAATATATAATACTTTGACTCAACAAGGAGCCTCCTGAAGAGTATTTTAAAATGTTTACATAACAGTACACTTGAATCAGGCAGAAGCATTATTCAAGACTGCTTTTGACTTCCTTTATGACAGGGACGCTTCTATGATATGAGCACTGAAACTAAAGCGAGTGGGAAGAAGGACTGGTGCGGTATAGAAACGTTTTTAGAGAAATGAAAAGGCAAAAAAGTCAGACAAAAAATTATGATGTATTTCCACAAAGTTACATCAAGCGAGCCTGCCTCTCCGGCCTCCCCTTCCACCTCTTCAACCTCTGCCAACCCTGGGCCAGCAAGACCTTCCCCCCACATCCCCCTCCTCTCGTCATCGCACTCAATATGAAGACCATGAGGATGAAGACCTTTATGATGATCCAGTTCCACTTAGTGAATAGTAAATAATCATCATGTTTTATAGTTAATAAACATATCTGTTGTGTATGTATGTGAAAATCTAGTAACCGTATTGTGAGAACCATATGAAACCTTTTCATGTCATCATCTAAGTACTCCTTGTGTAGAACTTTAGGATCACCTGAGAATTTATTAAAAATGCAAGTTCTCTGGCCCACCTGATGAGGGAACACAGAAGGCTAGCTGAAGACAAAGCACAAGCCAACACCCTGCAGAAGCCTCCCTCATCAGTTTGACCAGACTGTCCTGGTTTTAGCACTGAAAAGTCCCATGTACTGGAAACACCCTTCCCGGTACAAAAGTCCCAATGTTCAGTGATAGGTACAGAAGTTTGCAGCAAACCCATTCACTAGCTGAAAATATATGCGCTGAAAGCAAAACTGTTTTTAATGCCAGGATGCCGGGTATGGCATAGATTATTGGCTATGTGTAGTTGCTGTAGCTGGCCCAGTTCACACCTGAGTGATTTTATGATGAGGCATCATGTATAAATGACACCTTACTTAACCTGAGACCACCTAATGTATATAGTGAATCAGTGAAGCCACAGAAAGTGAAGCAGTTTCCTTACCCACACTGATCCCACCCCATATCAGACATTCTTCTGTCTCAGTTCTTTCCTCTTCTTGCATGTCTGTCCCTGTATTTGTTTCCTATCACTGCTCTAAAAAAAAAAATATCACTACAAATTCATTGGTTGAAAACCACACACACACGATTTATCATCTTGAAGTCTCTGAGCCCTTGAACTTCAGGTCAGAAGTTGGAGGGCTCTGCTGGGTGTTCTGAATAAAAATCCGCAGGGACAAACTCAAGGTACTGGCCAGGGCTGCAGTATTCATCTGGGGCCCTGAGCCCTCTTCCACAATCACTTTGTTTTTGTTTTCATTTTCAGAATTCATTTCCTGCTCACAGTTTCCACGTGTCCTCCTTGACTTTTAAGCCCGCAACAGTGGGTTGGGTGCTTCTCTCTAGCTTTGAATCTCTCTTCCTTTTTACCAACCAGCCAAAGAAACTAATCTGCATTTAAGGGCTCCTGAGATTAGACTAGATCCAGCCAGATAACCCAGGATCATCTCATTTGAAGATCAACTGATTAGTAACTTTGCTTACATATACAAAGTCTCACCTGCCACATAGTCAGCATATTCATGGGAGTCACACCCAGGGGCAAAACGTAATGGGTTCCAAATTTCAGTCTACCATGTTCCCTTTTACCTGTAAATTCCTTTATATCTAAATATCTATGTCTATGTGTAGATTCTGGAGCAGATTTATATTTCCTTAATAGTAAGCCTGGAATTCTTTTGTATGTGAATTTAATAGTTTATCCACACAACTCAGCTAATGAGTATCCTCATGTCACTCTTACAGGCTCTAGATGTTACAAAGCACAGCTGGACTCAAATTATGGTTTGTCTCAGTTCCGCACAATGTCCTTAGTCATAATAGTTTGCTTCTGAATAATTGTGATTTCCCCTGATTTTTGAAACCAAATGAATCATTTTGGGGAAGTTTTCATTTTACTTACTTGTATGGATTTTTTCCTCTACTTCACCTGATAGTCACCTGGAGGCTCACATGCTGGGTCTGGGAGGAATGACTACTGACTTGAGTTCACATCTCACTCCTGTCCCTGACAACAGAGATCTCATTTGGAAGAGACCTGGGATTTAAGCCCAAGATCCAGCCTTAATTTTTTAACTGTTACATTTACATAATTCTTATTATTTCTTGTTTCTCATGCCATAAATCAGGTATTTTCTTAGCTGCGTTAAAATTCACACATTTGTGAATGAAAAAGCAGGGTGCCATATGGTGGTCGCACTTGTGTAAGAACACACTTCTCTTTGAGATTTGTCCCAATTTTTCTCTTAGAGAAACTCTTAGTATGTGCCTTTGTTTGCTAGGGTTGCCATAACAAAGTACCACAGTTTGGGTGGCTCAACCAACAGAAATGTATTTTTTTTGCAGCGCTGGAGGCTAGAAGTCCAAGATGAAGGTGTTGGCAGGTTTGGTTTCTTTTGAGGTCTCTCTCCCTGGCTTGCAGATAGGCTGTGCTGTCACTGTGTCCTCACATGGTTTTCCCTCAGTCTGTGTTGTCTGTGTCGACTCTCCTCTTCTTACAAGGACAGCAGTCATATTGGATTGGGGTCCACCCATGTGACCTCATTTTACCTTAATTATCTTTGAAAAATCCTATCTCCAAATACAGCCACATTCTGAGCTAATAGGGGCTAGGGCTTCAACAGATTTTGGGGAAACGCAATTCAGCCCATAACACTGTGAAATACGGCATATGTATAAGAAATTTAAAACTATGTAGATTTTAAGGAATCTTTTTAATGTTGATACCTATGTAACTACCACTAAAGGCAATACAAAGAATAACAGCAGTGCCCATAGGCCGGAGGACTCCACCCCAGTCGCAATGTGCTCCTCCTCCAAAACCAAGAGGAATTCTAAAACCTGATTTTGAAAGTCAGTATTACCTGACTTGTTGGATAGTTTTTCCTATTGTGTCTGAATCCCGAAAATAGAGTTTGGTTGTGGCTGTTACTGAATTTTATATGAATGGAATCCTAAATTAGGGGCTCTGTTTGGTCTTGTTACTGTCTTCAAAATAAACACAAGATTCACCCATGTCATCCCGTGTATCTGCATATTATCCGTTTTCATTGCTGTGGAGCTAATAATCGATCTATCCGTTCTGCTGCTGATGCACCTTTGTACTGTTTTCAGCTACCGGTAACAGAATCATGCTGCTGTGAGTTTTGTCCATGTATTCTGATACACATAAAATTGATTTTTTTTATAGCAGTAGTTTACACACTTAAAAAAACATTCATTGGGAAGACATAAATATGTTTATGTACTTAACTGCAGAACTTTGAAATATGTAAGGCAAAAAGGGACCAAACTAAAGGATAATATACAAATTACAATGATAACTGGGGATGTTAACCCTTCTTTCTTACTAATTGTTAGAACAAGTAAACAAAAAGCAAATCAGAGTGCAAAAGATTTATCTTGACTTAATGGTATTTGTAAACCACTATATCCAACAT